CATAGTTAATGGGGTGTGGCACACCCCCTTAAAAGCTGTGGCTGCCACAGCTTTTAAGTTGGTGTGCCACACCCCATTAACTATGTCATAAAAACATTTTTAGCGAACAGTATTTATTAGGTTGCCTCGAAAGTTCTTGCGTAATTCAAATAAAACTCAATAACTTTTCAACACCTGAACCTAAATTCACAATCTTATTCTCCAAAAATACTAGAGGGCCTGCGCTCCATGACGGACGTTTGAGCGCGAGTTTCCATGCGCTAGACATCAAGAACGAAGCTCTCAAATATGGGGCCTCAAAATTTGCGATTTGAGTTTGGTGCCAGAAAATCGCAGAGTGCCGCTAGCTAGCCGAAAAAAATCTGTAAAAATTACACACAGAGCAGAAGTCGATATGCTACTTTGGAAGGCTTTGATCTTCTACGGTGAAGCAAAAACAAAAATTCGTGAAATATGTCATTTTGCGGAAAAAATCCTTTCGTTGCCGCAGTTTTTCGGCAAAAACACTTTTTTTACACTCCAAAAAGACGATGCAAGATTTCAAACAGACACTATGTCCTAATTCTGGTTGCAAACTGTGTTTTTGTGGAAAAATTACAGCGATAAGGGGATTTATCCTGTAAAATGACAAATTCCACAAATTTTTTGTTTTCGAATTTCCTTGCGAGATCAAAGCCTGCTAAAATAAGGTATGGACTTCTGCTGTGTAAATGATTTCTACAGATTTTTTTCGGCTAGCTAGCGGCCCCCTGCGATTGTCTGGCACCAAACTCAAAATTGCAAAACTTGAAGCCCCATCTTTGAGAGCTTCGTTCTTGGGGGCTAGATCATGTAATCTTGTGCTTAAACTTGCATTATGGAGCGCAGGCCTTCTGGTATTTTTAGAGAGTAAGATTGTGAATTTAGGTTTAGGTGTTAAAAAGTTATTGAATTTCGTTTGAATTACGCAAGAACTTTCGAGCCAACCTAATATATGAATCGACAGCCTAAACCTCCTAGATTTCATAGAAAACTCAAGCTTTGTCTACAGGGGTCAATTGACATGATAATTATGGATATGATACGAATATCATGTTATCACTACTATCAGATTACCCAACTACAGCCCCCTCCCCTTTTGACTCCTCAATACGACCCCCCAGATGTGGCGGGGCCACACCTCACCTTGGTCATCTTGTACTTGATTGAAGTATTAGGTCGTCCCGAAAGTTCTTGCGCACGATTTTCAAAAATTTGTAACTTTACGCTGTTTTAACGGATTTGCTTGCCTGTATTAGAAAGAATAAGTCTTTCGCTTTCAAATGCTTTTTTGCGGAGCTTCTGGTTGACATTGGATGCGGAGATAAAAATGGAAAACTAAGACCATATGAGTTTTGACCATTTTTAGCTGGGTCGCCAAAAATCGCAAACGCTGCAGAAAAATCTGAAATCGTCAGAACTCATGTTTTTTGGCCTACTCTTTGCAACTGTGAAAAGTTTGTGCTGCTTGGACGTCTCGTGAGAAGTTGTGATTTTCGTGAAAATCGACAAATTAATTAATTTTGGCGTTTTCCATAGTAAACTCGATATTCATAATTTATAATTAATATTCAGAATTAGCCCCCTTCGCTCATCTCATAAAGAAGTTGAGATCGACTTCGCACAGCAATGCTACCAGCGATACTTGATACTCATGAACGTCCCTTCGGCACTCTTAAGATTTCGTTTTCCTTCGGCTGCTTCCAGTATCTTGCTTGCCTGTGTTGAAGATTTGCTTGCAAATTCTGCAACTGACATTGGCTATCAATCGCTTGAGATGGATTGCATTCGGATCCTGCCTCAATAATCTTCTTCTTTTAATGTCATTTGTAGTCTTCGAGATGCATTCACCTTCTTTGAAGTCACTGAGGCGCACTCTCCGCACTCTTGCAATCTTTCAGAAACCGGTCGTAGTGTTAAGTCAGATACTCTTTACTGATGGGTTACTCACAACTAGTATGAGCTTGGCCTGTACCTATCACAATATGTTGACTGCAGCAAAATCTGCGATTTGCGAAAAATAGGAAACTCAAGCTCCGCTACTACAGGAAAGGTTTTTAAAGAGTAGTAGATAAAAGTTTTGGTGAGCACACATATTTTACCTAATGACGGTTTGTTTTCAATCAATTCGCATTAATAACAAGCGCAAGCTACATGAAAGCCTGATTCTTCTTCTGTTCTTATCGTAGTTGATAGAAGAAGAAAGCCTTTGGCCTTAGTTCAAATGGTGTCATAAGCATCCTAAGTATGCGATATGAAGTTAAGCAGGAGGCGAGGACATCGTTGATGGCGTATTGGAATTAATTCGTTACAATACAGGGTGTGGAAAAAGTACTGTCCCTCAAAATAAGGGCAAAAAATCGGCGCGACTCCCAGGTTTTTCTGGTAAAGTTGACGTAAATTCTAAGCTGTGAATTTAATCGTGCATTTTACAAAAACTGGCTCAAAATTTCTGCAATTTCAACCGGCGGATCCCCTTTCGCAGCGCATCCCATATCAAATCTTGCAACTCCTTTTTACAAATGTAAAAGAAGTGTGAAGTTTTTTGGAAAATTCTTTTGTTTCCAACGTGTATTTGAAAAATCTTCTACTGCTCAAGGATTGTTGTAGTGTCTTCGAAATATGCTGGAAGTAGTCAGGCCGCAGTTGCAATAGGATAAAAGTTGGGAAATTCTCCAACGAAATAGCGTCTGCGGCGCAACAGGGTGCGACCAGAGAATGTGGCACAGAAACTAAGTACAATTGTTTGGTGCCTCAAAATTATAATGTAGACAAAGCCCGACGCTCTTTTCATTATTCCTCTTACTTTTTGTTTGAATCTGGAGTTTCGGCCCATAATTTGGTTCCAATTCATCAAGTCACTGATCCATAGTGAGTACAGAGTTTTGGGAAGAAAATTATGCTCTACATACTGCCCTGCTTTGAAATTGATGTAACTGTGGTGATATAGTTACGGTCCAAAATTGAGCCCAAACGCTGTGGCGCATCGTCGATGACGCTGTTCGCTGTTATCACTCTTTGAATAAAGAGAAGGAAACTGTTTCAAATCAAACTTTTCTTAGTCGGATCTACAAAGTCTTGTCTACATGTCGGAATCTAAATACTATAGATTTTTTCCACCCCGAAGATTTTTCAGGAGGCAAACTGAGGGACAGTACTTTTTCCGCACCCTATAAATGTGATTCAGCTTACAAGGGAAGGATACCAACTTAGATTCTCCTTTTAAGATGGGAACGCAATATTTGGAATCAGTTTTCAACGCTGATTCCAAATAAGATGTTCCTAGCTGCTTAGCCTTATTCCAAAGCGAGTTATGGGCCTGCTGTTGCGTGCAACTAACAAACTTCTAATTGTCGTAAGACGGCGTGTAGATAAAAATCTGCTCGAAAAAAGTGCTTGAATGTTGAACTAGCATCAGATTAATTCTTTCGATCATGAAAGGAAGTATTATATGCGAAACTATCCTAGACGTCTACAAGCATCAGTAGATCGAGGAGCACGCAAACTTTGCACAGAAAAGAGACCATAACTCGCTTCAGAATAAGACTAAGCAGCTATGAACATCATATTCGGAATCAGCGTTTCAAGCTGATACCAAATATTATGCGTCCTATCTCAAAAGGCGAATCTAAGTTAGTATCCTTCCCTTGTTAGTGCGATTAGAAAACGACTATGCCAGTCCAATGTGTAATAGCATACGACTCCACATAAATGTAAAGAATGAGCTAGCCATTGAGTATGTACTGTTAATGCGAAGTAGTAGCAATCTCTTATTAATGTATTAAAGGCCGTCCTAGCGAAATTAGTGTCGATTCGCATACGAGCTCTAAAGACGTGAAATTGTTGATACAAGCCTTTTCGCAAACTTTGGGAAAAGCGCGAACCAAAGTTTAATTGACATAAAAACGTTGCTTATAAACTAATGCTTCTGCGCTGCAGACGCAAATGCGTGTGATGCCAGTACTAGCAGTAGTAGCATGAGACAGTCGTAACTTCTGAAATACGTCTTTGATCCCGCACACCAAGCTGATCAAAGGGATTTGAAAAATCGATGACTGAGTTTTTCTACCACGGATAACTTTAGCAGTCCTGATGTGAGAGTAAATGAAGTTTTCATTTCCCGTCGCCCCATTGTTTCCGATTTCAATCTTGTTATGATTTGAGTTTTTCGCAATCGTTCAGATAATTCGATAATTAAGATAAAATTGCATCATACTGAGCAAACATTCAATTATATGTAAGGTGTCAGTGTCATAGTACGTGGCGTACGCGACGTACTCAGCGTACTCTTCATATCTTTATGCACTGGGCGTACGCAGCGTAATGTCGAGTAGATTTTCCGCTTAGGGTTCCTTCATACTACGCCGCAGGATGCAGCAGCCTGCCGAAGCACGCGGCAGCACGCCGCGTTCTGTGGCGTGCACCGCTGTATTCGCAGTGAAAATACACGCTCACGGCAGCAAAGCTTCTCGCCGGTTATGGATGTTCTATATTTGCTGCAAGTTCGTGTTCTCCGAGATGTTCCTTCACAGCGAGCGTCTTATATTTTCACTGCAACGCAGCGGCGTGCGCACACTGAATTAAGCGGAAAATCTACTCGACTGTACGTCATGTATGCACCGGTCTGACACACCCTTTAGATTATTTCACTGCACTTGTATTGAAAGAGGAAGTTCAAGCGATATAAAATTTCTGCTGGGATTAGGAACAAGTATTACATTTAGATTGAGCACCAAAGCAGCAATACAAATTATTTCGCTGTACTCACTGATGCTATTGATATATTTAATACCATAATTACTCACAGTTGCAATGTAGATGTACTTTTAGTTCGTAGTTAGAGGCAAGCGCTCAATGCGTCGTTTCAATGATGTAGGTCCGCTATAAACAAAGCAGTAGTTATCAACTTCTCACGCATAAAAATCTGTTTTTCTGTAATCACTCTTTTTTCCGCTGTTTTCAGGCGTGATTCATGTAGACCCATGTATGTACAAGAATCAAAGTCACCGAAGTGGTGGTTTGTAGCAGCAATGGCACTCCTGATTTTTGTAAGTTTTAAGTAGTTACGCCCTCTTTGTAATATTCGAAACCAGCTCAGGTGTATATTACTGGTATCTTCTGCAATGCCTTCACTCTATGTGCTATGCGAGAAATTCCCTCATATAAAGTTACATTCAAAAGGATTTTCACTTACAAATGTGTGGCCAGCACTATTCTTCTCACTATTTTATTGCTATGGACAATTCCCTGTGCTATATGGTAGGCAATCTTTTGAATTACTGCGATAAGACTAATGCTGGAAAGGGGAGAAGAGCTGCTCCTTAAAGGTCTTTTGAAAAATAGTTTGCTTTGTCGGGAAAGATTCATTTTTCCGTACATGATGACATTTGTAATTTATGAGGTAGGCAGAAGGTGGGGCTACCGCCGTACATATCTAAATAGAGCAGCTCTCCTTGCCTGTTCGTATACGCTTAGATGTAAGCACAGAATGCTTTTTCAATTTGCTATTTTTTCAATACGATGGACGTTTAAATCTGTGTAAACAGGCACTTCGACAGAAATAATTTGCTGCTCAATGCTCGTATTGGTTATATGATTATGTTTTTTAATACACCGATATACATTTCTAATGTTGTCTTATCGGCGAACCAATTGATTGCTGTTGCTTTTCCTTCAAAGCCCAGGTGCTTTTCAAAAATTAGCATCAACTATACGCTTATAGCTGCATCGCTTATCAGCGTGATTCACTCTTCTATTTACTTTCATGGTAAAAGCCGTGATTTCCCAAGAAGGACCTTTCAACATTCCTGCTTCAGAAGACTGTGCAATGTACTTCAACAGCTACAGACTGCTATATTATTTTGCTGAAACCAACTGTGGCTCACTGGTTGAGCGGTACGGAGATTTCGCGGTAAACATATCTATGTTCACCATGTGCCTTTTGATGGATGTCGTAGGAATAATATTTCTACGGAAAGACCGTAAGGTGATTTGCCATAACACATTGCGGGAAAAGGGTAGGGGATATATGTCGCCGAAAGTGGGGGTCCCGCAGACATCTGCGACAGATACACATTCCAATACCATGCATAGGCTGAGTATCTGCGGCAGTTCCGCGCGGGACCCTCCCACTTTCGGCGACATATAGTCCTCTACCCGCGGGAAAATACAGCGTAAACAAAGCACATATTGGTATATGTGATAGTCCGTGCACCAAGGAAGCGGTCGCACATACCATCAAGTGCACCGGCGGTGGAGCAGAGATGTGCTCGTCTTTTCCATCTTGCGAGTTTTGCTTGTAAAACTCGAGAGGGAATCGAGAAACTATCCGAGGGTTGACGAAGCATTTGGTGGGGCAGACATGATATTGCTAATCCCTCAACGCTTTCCTCTGAACGACGAGTAGTCGAAACGTTAGGCCACTGATGTAATAAAGAGCTTCACCAAAACCTCGTGCTGGCAAAGCAAGAATACACAATCTCAAGTATGCCAAGGTTTCAGCAGGAGAGGACGAAAAACTTACATGAAAAGTGGCAATAGAAAACTATCAGGGCTAAGGAACTTGAAACATATTGAGAGAAAACAGCTTTTTATGAGCGAGTTGGATTACGCATTCTGTACTGCTATACTCAACACTTCTCGATTTGCCGAATACCAGCCGCTTGCGCGAAGCCGTCTTTAAGGGGATTACGGTGGATATGATTGGGAAACAGAATCTATTATTTACTGAAATATTGTCAAAGAAGTTCTTTGACATACCAATCATTGCAGTGGCGGTCCCAGGATTTCGGACCGGGGGGGGGGAGGCGACAAAAAAATTTTTTTTAAATGAAGGTGCGTGGCGTCAGCCACGCACTCCGAAAAATTTTTGGGGTGCTTCTCAAAATTTTGCGGGCCCCTCACTCGCCCCCGAAAAAAATTTTTTTACAGGACTAATTTAAATTTTTAAAATTTTTTAGAAATTATTTCAATTATTTACAATAATAAACAAGTCAGGGGCGCCCCCCCCCTCGCCGCCCTCGGTCCGCCACTGACTCATTGATATAATGGCTTACTCTGTGATCAAAATTAATACATCCAGATCAGTGGCGTACCCAGGATTTCCGCTCGGGGGGGGGGGGGGGCGACAAGAAATTTTTTCGAATGAAGGTGCGTGGCTAACGCCACGCACTCCGAAAAAATTTTAAGGGTACTTCTCAAAATTTTTGCGGGTCCCCAACCCCTAGCTCCGAAAAATTTTTTTTACAAGGTTAATTTAAATTTTTAAAAATTTTTAAGAATTAATTTAATTATTTACAAGTGTTAACAAGTCATTTGCACATTTTTATAACCCATCTAAGTAACTTTCAAAAATTTCGCGACCCATTCTCGGGGGGGGGGGGCGCCCCCCCCCCCCTCAGTACGCCACTGATCCAGATGTACAATCGGACAATGCTTTGTAATTGTAATTGTAATCATATGATTTCTTTCTGTATTTTCTGTAATAATGCAAAGAACTTTCACGTGCAAAGTCAACATATGAATTTACCACCTATAATACTTATTATTATAATAGGCAGCAACTTTTTCATAAGCCTCTTACTTCTTATACAGGAAGGCCTCAGAGTGGTAGTAGATTGCGACAAATTTAAACACCTAGCAGAAGCCCGGAACGGTGGCTCTGAGTCTGCTTTCGTTATTCGCAGAATATAGTCGGAAAAGGAGTTGTGAGCATTTTCGTGGTGGACGTAAAGGCTTATTTAGTGGCCCTAACAGATTAATGAGGTTATCTCATTCTTATAAAACCATTAGAGTTCAATTCGTTTTTTCGCACTTCCTAATCACTCATTTAATGCTCTTTCTTTTTTTTGCTAGCCTATCCATGTCATATGAATTTAAGGTGTGTCGTATTTTCCGTCAGCACATTTTTTCTATCTTACTATGAAGTGGCTGGTCTTATGAGTTTTCCGAAATTTTTTTGGTCTTCTTTCTTTCTAATTGCACTTCTGCATATTTGTAATATAAATTGGAAACTAGTCCAAACATTCATAATTTCGGGTTTCAAAGTACTACAGTCGTAATTTACTGTCTGGGACGGCTAATTGGTAATGTTGAGCAAAGTTTTAACGATGAAAACCGTAAAAAAAATTCGTAGCACAGCAATTCTCAGTCAGTTCTAGAGAATGATTTTTAGAGCTTCTGCGGTGCATTCATCTAAGAGCCTCGCTGCTCTCTGGAATTTCAGTGATACAAAGAGATCTGGGTCAAAAAAAAATATCACGCGGCTCAAAAGTGGTCTAAATTGAATTTCAAAGATTTTTCAGAAAGTGGAAAAACTACTAAGCGTCAGCAAGCAAAGGGAACGATATCGCAGAGAGGTTATCATGGCAGTTCAGGTGCGCCAATCTGGCAAGATGTTATCAATCAGTCCTGGAACTAGAATTTTGTGTGATTCCAGACGCTCATAAATTCGTTTCTTTTTTACGTGATGCTCTTCAGCTATCACTTTGGCGTTTCCGAACATCATCATCCCTTCTTAACTTTTATGCACACAAATTTCCTATGGTGTGTGGTGATAGCAAGCGGAGGGTTAGTCACTGTAAGCAGTTTGATACTGACACAAATGCATGAACTCGAATATGTTTAGGTACAGCGCGATACTCATGAGCAAAGATCTGCGAGCAGCTCTATCTCGCCTGATTTGTCGGACGAAGAGGGCAGCACCAGTGGTATCAATGGTAAAAACCTTTGCCTCCCAGAACGACATCACAGTGGATAAAAGTCTGCGATAATTTTCTCACGCACTGCATCGGCACGTGCAGCTCTAAGGTCGTTGAGAAGTGTGCCTCTATCTTTTGGATATAAAGCTCAATGTTTGTCTGTGTCCATGTAGAAACTGATTTCATTATTGGATTGTGCGACTCTCTGTGAACCTAGGCATGGCGTAGATATTGTAGTTGTTTATATAAGCCGCACTCGAGATTGGTAACAATATTTATTGGGTGGCTGACGTTTCGGCAGATCGCCTTCTTTAGAGCCTGGAATGGACAAAACGATCTGCAAACTATCCGATCAAACGTCTCTGCCAGCTCCACAAGCAAAGTTCTAAGACTCTGCCTGTTCACTGATTAGACTGCCAAACCAACCGCTTACCTTTTTAAAAATGCCGATAGCATACAAGTGCCTGAGCGAGCGCTAATAAATGACTATGTATGCCACGCTATTTATATGCCTACAGTGAGTCAAAGAGGTAACCCAGGTAAGGTGCGAGTTCACAAGTGATAGAGAGGCACTCCTCCTTGCGATTCATTTGTGGACTTTTTGCGTGAATCCAAAAGGCCTCCAAACATTTGCGGGCTGATGTTTGGAATTCATGCGCTAAGATCTTCACTGGAACTTCAAAGTTTTCTCTAGCGTGCTTCACCAGCCTGTGAGTGCCTAAAGGTGTGGTCGTGCGTGATCTATCCCTGCCGTCTAAATGCTCTTTAATGCGGACGCATAAAGGGCGCGCCGTTTCACCGATGTACATGTCACCGCAGCCCGCGCAGGTGATAAGGTAGATGACGTCATGCAATCCCCGCCCCTGCCCGCAATTAAGCGTTGTGCAGGTGCGATAGTCAGGGTAAAGCGGGGGGTGCGGCACGCGACCGCCGGATACGACCCCCCCCCCCCCTTGGGCCGGACCTCGGCACGACCCCCCCCCCCATTCCCTACCCCCCCCCCCTCCTCCCTCCCGAACTCCCAAGCTAGCTCTTGAGCTTCGGCCGTAAGTACAGTAGTCACCGTGGGCTACAACTCTGTGCAAAAATCTTCTCAAATGATAAGGCAAAATCTTGGCAAATTGAACATTTACGCAACCAATCCTTTTTGGCGCCGTTTTCGCAAAGTAATGAACTTTTGCTCGATTTTTTTGGCTTAAGTCCTTGGCTTGCACATTAACTTGTCAAACATATCAGCGACTTTGCACAATGTTGTGCTACAGGCTCAATTTTACTGGCCAAAAGCCAAGTGGATCCGATCGCCGCGCATTGTTTGAGGGGTCTACCCAACGGATACGTTCGCGCTTTTGTATATTAGACTCTTATGTTGGTAGCATGCGCTGTGCAAAATTTGGGCTCAGGAGGTTGGCTGGAACACGTTCTACGAATTTCGTGACAGACAGATTTACAGACAGACACACACACAAAAAAAAACAGACGCCCTTAGCGCGTTATTATAGTAAGATGAGAAAATTTTTATCAAAATTTCTGACACACAATAATACTGATTGCGGATATTTTCAAGACTTCGAAAGCAGTGTGCAAGATTAGAATGGGCAAAGAATTCAAGTAGCAACGACAGGTAATCTAAATCCGGTAATAGTTTGCAGTCAGCGTCTGGTTTAACATCACAGTCATAGGGCTATTCGGATCGGATGCGTTTTCATGCACACGATAAGCAGGAGTATTCACTTTGGGAATAGGTACTTGCATTGGTCTATCCACAATTACAGAAATTATCCAGGTAGAATAGCAAATCTCAAAAATAACCGTTTTATAGATGTAAAAGAACGATACAAAAAACTCACCGAAATCAAGATAAAAGTAACTAAGGCGGTTTTAGCAAAGATACCAGCTCCAAGAAGACTCAAGATTAGTAAAGCAACAGATACAAGTACACAGTAAAGGAACCTCCTCATAGGAGAGTCAGGAAATTCTGAAAAGGAAGAATCTTCGATTAAGAGGTGATAGACAAAAAGAAGCACTTACGTCCATTGCCGAGATTATTTAGTAAGGCTTCCGTAAATCCAGAGATATACAAAGCGCATGAAAAAACATTTGCCACGAAAAACAAAACTCCTATAGCTCCACCAAATTCTGGCCCTAAAGATCTACTGATCATATCTGCAAAAACACTGATACCATTGCTGAATAGCCATAAAAGACAAGACTGACAGTAAACTCCTCCTCCTTCAACAGCTCCATTTGATGAGATTGCGCAAAGGGAGAGTACCGTTAGCATGACAATTGCATAGGCCATTGCTAATTGTACTACTGTCATGGGAATCCTAACTGTCCTATGACAAATCCTGTAACGATATGACTGAGATAATTTAGAAGAAATTCGAAACTTGCCTACCCATTCTCATGAACAGTAAAACACTGAACATTGGAAGGCCACTGGCGCGAAAACGCCGGATATTGTTGATAGTCCATTCAGTCGTGATTGTGAGAACTCAATACCTAGAAAACATTCGTTATAAGAGAACGCATCTCACTAAGTGTGGAGCAGCTTGATATATGCAAATAATGTGAGCAAAACTGCTGGGAAGTTTCGGCAGAAAATTTATGCCATTCAGCAATCAATCAATTTGTTGAATAACTCAAGGCTAATTTGCAAAAAAAGGAGAAAGAAGTCTGTCTACAGGATTCTGCAAAACTATGTAACGAACTCACGAGTAACTGTTTACAATAGTTACTCTTAGAACTTCAGTCACGATTACCTGCTGCGGCAGTAATGAGAGAGTAACACTTTTCAACACACTAAGGGAGGACCCGAAGTCGAAATCGGCTTCCCAAATGAGATATAGACCAATGTGAACAACATCAAACGAAGATTCCGAATTGTCTTTGCTCTTTGCCAAGCGCCTCTAGACGATGAGTTACAAGTGTTTTTGGTGCGAAAATTGACAGCAAAATCCAGGTAAAATCAAGGGTTCCGGTCTTTCTAGCGCTCAAATACTAATATAATAATAAAAGTATAGAGTACAAGTTTATTAGACAAGAAGTTTTCCATAGATGCTTTAACCCATCGCTGGGCCATCTTGCACTAATCTGTACCAGTTGCACATTCAATTTTTGAGCCAAAACAAAGCTCATAACTCAGCGTCAGGTGCTTGGCAGATAATAAAGACGGCTTTGGAGTCAGCGTTTAATGATTGGCTCCTCAGATTGGTATATATTTCTGTGGAAATCCATTTTCGACTTCGGGTTTTCCCTTGTCAGACTATGCCAAAAATCATGACTGCATGTAACGACAAAATAGATGAGACTGATGGTTGTCCGAACAAAAAAAAGAATTGATCAAAACATCACTTACTTGGTGACGAACCTCCATTTGCTATACTATTCTCGTGCGTGATACCGTCTTCTGAAAAACACGGATAAGGATATAGGCAGTAACTAGATTACCTCTCTCCACAAGATGCAAATTACCTGTATGATTTTGCAGTGATGGTGACATCACATAAGGACTGGATGATTCATTACTTGTGTACATGGCGCCCTCTTATCAATTTATGCGGATTGGCCACGTCATTACAATAACGGACTTCAGTGCGCTCAATTCTAAATGATTCTAGGAATAATTTTCCTGTGTCAAGAACGAAACTATCAGTAGCGATGACACCCACACGGCGACACTGTGTTATTGAAATTTTATTCTGTCTAAAAGGCGGAGAAAATGCGGGGGAGGAAGTAGCAGCAAACCAAAAGGTCGGAAGAGGGTGACATTGAATCAAAATGCCGAAATGAAAATAAACATGAAAGTAAAAACATAAAGAAACATTAGCGAAAAGGTTAGAACTCACTCTGCGATTCATTTGAAGGTGATCCGATTATGGTACCTCCAGGAGTTGTACCAACACCAGCGGTCTCCTCATTCATTTTTTACAAATGCCCTTTGCAGATTATGGCCACAGTAATCAGCACAATCTTACTTGTTCGAAGAGCCCAGTTTCACAGGAATTGTTGCAGGTTTCGTTAGGAACAAACCATTTGTAGCATATAGGCAACAAAAATTCCTGTAAACATCTATAATGAGAGAATATTGGCAAAAACTGAAAAGATTGTTATTTTGAGTGCAACAAGAAAAGGCAAGGTTAAAACGACAATATGAAGCGTTTTTTTGAAGAGAATTTTCACAGAACTTTTATTGAAGAACCTTATAAAACTACAACAAATGACTCTGAAGCTGCAGAATCCAGGATAAACAAGTAAACAAACGATACACGACAAGAACCCTAAGGCACTTCATCCACCACACGTGTTCAGGCACTCAATACACGCTTTGAGAAGAGTTCAGAACGGCGAAAACGTCAAAATGCATTTTGAAACGCACTTTGCAAAAGAACAGAAGAACAAAAGAAACCAAAGAAACAAAAGAACAATCAAAATGAGGTGAGGTGAGGTGAGGTGAGGTGCTGCAGACGAGTGGATTTTGAAATGCGCATTTCAAACTGTCCTGGCTCCCGCCGTTGGTGTGATGGCAATTTTTCGACTCCTACCGTACACCAATATTTTCGACGGTTGTCGGACTAGGTGCTTCGGTGAGTAGGGTTCAGAAAACCCATCGTATCTCTACTAAGAGGGGGCGCTTGGGGGGTGGCAAATGCTACTACGGAGAGAGAAAGGATGGATCTATAGGTTGACATGAAAAAGGCAGCTGTTTGAACGTTTTGAAGGTAAGTTAATGGCCTGCGGCACCCCCCCCCCCCTCCCCTCAAAACCTGCGGCAGCCGCAGGTTTTGAGGGGAGGGGGGTGCCGCAGGCCATTAACTATATCAAAAAAACATTTTTAGCGGACAATATCTATATGAGTCAATAGCCTAAACCTCGTAGATTCCATAGGGATGTTTTGAGCCTGATTCGTCTTCTTAGCTCTGAGTAATATTTGGTGAAAGCACAGCGATCAAAACCTAAAAGCGATTTTGGTTGGCTTCTAATTCAATAGTTTGGAGGTCTTCTGAAGCGGGATTCGTGAGGTGGACAAAGAAGGAGTAGTGCTTTGTATTGAGTGCAAGAAGATGTAGCTTACTCACCGTTAAGATGAAGTTAATCATGTTTTAAATTAATGCTTTATACAAGGTTGTTTACTGCTCAAAGACCTCAGAGTTCGCTGAAACTTGGCGCATAGGGGTTATTCGACACGCGGATTACGACAATTATGCTAGATTAGAGGTACGGTAGGTTACGGTAGGCATACGGTATCTGCGAGTTTGTGTCGTTGAACTTGAATTTTGCAGGATTTCAACAGCGCTTTCATCAAGTCAATTTAGTCACATAGCTGTACAGCGAGACTAATCTCTTCATCAATCTTTTCTTGCATCTCTAATTGAAATAATCAGCAATCAATCATAATCAGATTAGTTGTAAACCGATTGTGTAAAGACGGCAGCACAGAAAAGGACACGCCAACATTTCCATCTTTGTTATCGAAGCTCACAGGTTGGACGATTCTGATTTGCCTCCACTCTATATTGATTTCGAAGTTCTCAACTTTAACATTATAGAAATGAGTGAAAGCAGCTCCAATGCTCCGCAGCCGAGGGACGAGGCGCCCCCTCCCCCGATTCAGAACGGGTGGTTTTGAGTTGAATCAAGGAGTGAACTTCGGTGATCCAGTTTGTCGAGTCAATCTACCATATCCTACTACGCGGCCATGGGGAGCAAGGGAACCGGCACGACCTCCAGAACCTAATCCCTGGAGAAGAAGGCGAAATCTATCCGCCAGGATAGATTCCGCCTTCTTCTCCAGGGATTAGGTTGGAAGGACACAGAGGAAATTAAAAACCGGCTTTTGCAAGAAGAACTTGCTAAGATGAACATTTTTTCAATCGGATCTTCTGAGAAAACAAACTGAGCATCTTCACATCTTTATAAATCATTATTCATTTCCTTATATTAGTGTATACAACAGATAAATGTTTTTTTAAAGGTACATTTTACACAAAACCACAACAACAATATGCGTAAGTTCCTCTTTCCCGACACAAGTTCTTCAAATGTATCGTGCATTTCTATTGACGAGATCTTCACTTTCCCACACATCACACGTCGGTCGTCACACCATCATCCATTCACTGCATAATCTCCTTTTCAAGAAATTCTATTGAAAACACGACTCGTACCTAAATCAAGACTCAATTTAGTATTTCTCTCAATTATTGAACGGTTGTCAGAGGTAGTTGGAAAAGAGCGTGGCACGTCTAAGAACTTAGCTGCAGTCATTTCCCCTTAGAAACCGCTTTTGACCTTGGGTCGATACGACCCCCCCCCCCCCTATCTACCCCCTCCCCTTACGACCCCCCCTTGCGGTGTGCCGCACCCCCAGCTTTACCCTGGCGATAGTAGATGCGATTGCGGACCAAAATACCTTTTAGGTTATTTGGGGGTATCTCCTCCATCGCAACTGAGTTTTCTAACCCGCATCTTTCCAGACACTGCCTTAAGGCAATGCTAACTTCATCAGAGATATAGGGAACGCTGAAGGGGATCTTATCAGTTATATTAGGTCTGTCTACTTGAGCATCATGTGTTCTACGCCGCCTTGCCCTTCCAGCATAATATTCATAGCCGTTAGAAGCCGCTATTCTACGAGCCAGCGCAAGAGATTCTGCCCTTTCCTGCTGTCCGCTGCAAACGCGAGAGGCTGTACGAAACATACTTTTTTTACAGCTCTTCTTCATATGTGAGGGATGAGCTGAACGGAAGTGTACCAAGATGTTTTTGTTACTGGGTTTCCGGTACCATTTTGTTACGTGTACACCTGAGGCGATATTGACCTGCACGTTCAAAAATGGTAGCCATTGCTTGCTGGGCTTTTCCCTCGTGGGCTTGATGTATGCAGATTGCTCGTTAAGTATCTTGGAACAACTGTCAATCTCTGCCTGAGTCGAACAGATTATGAAACAATCTCAATGTATCTGCAATATAGCAACGCATGGCATTCTAGGACTGGAGCCTCTATCTTGGCCATGAAGGCCACCGCAAGTGTAGGAGCTAACCTTTGTCCCATGGCTAACCCTCTAATGATTTCATTATTTGTCAGTAAGTGCAAGCGCACAAGGTTATAATACATGTAAGTATTTTTCAAACTTTCGCGACCCATCCTGGGGGGGGGTCGTTTTTTCAAACACGTCTGGCATGCACGTATGTTCTGAATAGAAGCTTTCATTTTTGAACCGATCCAAACCAAACTTTGCATACACAATCGGAACGGCGTGGGTGTCGTGGGCTACTTTTCGTTGTCAATAAATTGAGTTATTGATTCTTCAGCAGTCTGAGCTACGTAAGTGAGCATGATTACGAGAGTATCAAGTTGTAGAACCCACTGCATATGTCAATTTTTTCAATACTCTACAATTTCTGAGCCGGGCTGGATTTTGGTACAGGAGAGTAAACCAGATGCTGTTTCTCGGAAGTATCAACCCTTTGTATAGTTATCTATCATTTCGATTTTTTCCAGACTTAGAGCTGGGCTTATGCAAGTAAGTACAGGCGAGAGCAGATTGAACATAATTACGCAGTGAGGCAAGATGGGATGACAATATCGTATACTAGCTGGCTTACCCGGCTCCGCCGTATCCGGACCAAACTTGGCACACATACACTTCGGGCCCCGGCGGGTGTCACAGTCCACTTTTCGTTATCGATCGATGTCGATTTTACCGATTTTTATCGATTTTTTGCAGAGTTCACCTACAGGGCTAGGAGTTGGCACAGGGGGGGGAAGTGAGCATGGGGACTCCGAATACAATATTAGTTTTCAGAATTATCGATTACTTTTATTGATTTTATCGATTTTTTGTAAAGTTTGACATGCGAGGCTGGGATTTTGCACAGGGGGGTAATCGAGCATGCTGATTACGAACACAATATTAGTTTTCAGGATCGTCCATTACTTTTATCGATTTTATCGATTTTTTTGTAAAGTTTGACCTGCGGGGCTGGGAGTTTGCACAGGGGGTAATCGAGCATGCAGATTACGAATACAGTATTAGTTTTCAAGATCGTCCATTACTTTTATCGATTTTATCGATTTTTTGAAAATTTGAGCTAGGGGGCTGGAATTTGGCACAGGGGTGTAATCGAGCATGCTGATCACCCCCCTTGGGGATGATCAGCATGCTCGATTACCCCCCTGTGTCAACTCCCAGCCCCCTAGCTCAAACTTTGCAAAATAATCGATAAAATCGATAAAAGTAATCGATAATCCCGAAAACCAATATTGTATTCGGAATCCCCATGCTCAATTACCCCCCTGTGCGAACTCCCAGCCCCGTAGCTCAAACTTTGCAAAAAATCGATAAAATCGATAAAAGTAATCGATAATCCTGAAAACCAATATTGTATTCGGAATCCCCATGCTCGATTACCCCCCTGTGCCAACTCCCAGCCCCGTAGCTCAAACTTTGCAAAAAAATCGATAAAATCGATAAAATCGATATCGATCGATGACGAAAAGTAGCCTATGACACCCGCCGGGGCCCGAAGTGTATG